CCTCATCTCAAACGTCGGCCGAATATACTCGAGGCTGTGGCAAGTCGGGAAAGATGAAAGGCCTCAACTTGGAGTCAAAGATCCAACGTGGCTGTTATCTCTCCTCGCCCAATTCGATCCGATTACTCGAAAACTCTCATCGAGTCGAACGGCTCATGATCCGCGAGAAACTTAATCGATTGCTCAGTCGTCGGCCTACCTCTAGATCTAGTCTCCTAACACTCAACCTTATTGATCAGGAACTCCTCTTTTGCTCTAATCTTCTTGCCCCAGTCCTCCGCAGTCTCAAACGCCAACAAGCTAAAGATCTCCTGGCTCGCAAACTCAGATACTCGGATGCCGAACTCGATCAGCTCTCTCTCAGCCCTGCTGGTCACTTTCGTAACCTGCTCATCGATGACTCTGGTACCCAAAACATCACACGATCTAGGTCTTCCTCTTGCTCGATCCGTGCTAGCTCTTAAACGCATTTCTGAAATCCTGGATCCATTCAACAAAAGAATCCCACTGTCCAAGATTGCCAGTCTACAAACATGCACCCATCATACCACTTTTTTACCCCGACTACTTCTATAAGAACCCATTCTCAAATTTCAAATTCAACTCAAAACTATCCACACATGAATATACACACATCATTCAATCATGAAATGCTCACAAAGAAAACTCCACATGCAGACTCTTACCTCAAGCCAAAAGGTCAAAAAAGTTATGGGAGCCATTTTCTTGTGGTATCTCTTTTTGGGAGAAGATGCAGACAAACATTCATCAAGCACAACTCACAGACAAAGTCTACACTCCTCCTGACCTCTTTTTGCATGGACATTCCAATTTGTATCTGTGTGTGTCTATCAGTGTATGTTGTGTTGGTATAATAATTTACTTCATTCTCAGGTTTCTCCTTGCTTTGAACTCTTTTTTGTTCTTCTTTTTCTCTTTCTGTTTCTCAGTCTGATTCTTTTTCCTGTCTTTTTTTTTCTTTTCTTGTTTTTTGGGGGGAACTTTGGATTCATTTGATCAACTCAATTCTGTTTTGTCAGTCAGACTCACAGCAGAAAAATGGTTTTTGATATTTTGAAAAATCTTTGTTGTTGCTTTATGTTGTCTACATGCCATTAATCAAAAAAATATCTCTTTTTTTCATGTAGTTCTCTTCTTCTCCCAGCAATAACTGGTTTCTTGTTGTTGGTCAATGAATCAAACTATAAGCAGGGTCCATGATTGGCATTTCTCATAAACCCATTTCTCCCAAATCTGCAGCCACTTGAGTTTTGGCAACTGGATCCTTTGGTCCCAAGCAGAAGAAAATGGTGTCATTATCTTCTGTTTGAAAATAACAGACAGGCAGAGCTGGCTGAGCTGGGTGTATGAGCTGGTATGTGAGCTGGGTCAACACTGGGAGGTTACATTTTCAGTAACAAAAAATAACAAAAACGTAATAGAATTGTGGCCGTTAGCGTTACAATAACCACAAAAGCCTTTCTGTTACGTTTTCTTTTTTATTTTTTCCGTTTTTTTAATTGTTTTTACGCTATCCACCACGATTAAGTGTGGATAACAAACACATAACAAGGGGGTTTACCCTCACACAACGTGGATAACGTGCTGTTTGTGTTGTTTTTTTCCGTAACAAGGGGTAAAATCCCTCTTGTTACGTTGCTCACAGGTCAAAAAAGATAGCATTCTGGATAACACTAATGTTGTTATCCAATGCGCTGGGAAGTTGTGTTACAAAAATCCCTCCGGATATTCAAATGTATGTAACTTCCCAGTGTTGGCTGGGTGAGCTGGCAAAAATAAGGCAAAAACTAGTTTCACCCATATTTTTAGGGGCTTGGAAAAACGACTCCCAAAGTTTAGGCGCCAACTCCCAAATATGGTCGTCGGACGTCCATTGGGAGTCGTTTTTCTAAATGGATGGCCGACTTTGGCAGTCGGCCATCCATTTAATGTTTTTTTTTTGTATTTTTGGGAGTCTCAGTTGGCTCCCCAGACCACCCCTCATGTGAGGGGATTTGGGAGTTGCTCCCATATGACCGGAAGGAAATCCTTCCGGTGGATGAGAAACAACAACCCCATTGACCAGAAGGAGAATCTCCTGTCAATGAGGTGTAACATCCCTCATCAACCAGGAGGGAATCCTTCCAATCAATGGGGTGAACAGCCTCATTGACCCAAAGGGATTCCCTCCAATCGATGGGGTGTAATAGCCTCATCAACCGGAAGGGATTCCTTCCAGTCAATGGTGTTGTTGTTTCTCATTGATTGGAAGGATTTCCTTCCAATCAATGAGGTGTAACAACCTCATTGACCACAAGGAATGCCTTCTGGTCAATGGTGTTGTTGTTTCTCATTGATTGGAAGGATTTCCTTCCAATCAATGAGGTGTAACAACCTCATTGACCGCAAGGAATGTCCTTTCCGGTCAATTAGGCTTACGAACACCCTGAACCTGAAGGGATTCTTTGCGATCAATGTCCATAGCGTCGCGGGGTAACAATCTCTTTGACGGGAAGGGATTCCTTCCAGTCAATGGGGTTGTTGTTTCTCATCCACCGCAAGGATTTCCTTCCAGTCATATGGGAGTGACTCCCAAATCCCCTCACATGAGGGGTGGTCTGGGGAGCTGACTCCCACAAGAACAAAAAAAAATATTAAAAAAAATAAAACATTAATGGATGGCCGACTCCCAAAGTTGGCCATCCATTTAGAAAAACGACTCCCAATGGACGTCCGACAACCGGATTTGGGAGTCAGCGCCTAAATTTTGGGAGTTGTTTTTGCCCAAGCCCCTATTTTTGTAAAAAAAAAAAAACAGCCATAAACTTGCCCCCTTACCCCCACTGGGGGATGGGGCCAGTGGGCATTGAACCAACAGCCTAGAGGGTGAGGCAACGTTGGGGCATCTGTCACCATGTTCAATTGGATGTTGGCAACTGGGACTATGTATTTTTTCAAAGGTTTCTTATGTGATCCTGATTTCCATATTCTTATGAGACCCAATGTTGCTTCACACAGCCATCATCATCATCCATGTCAAACTGTAGGAGGAGCAGTTTGTCTCCCAGTAACAACTCTAGGCTATGGTACAGCCTTAATTTCACTACTAAATATTATAAATTCACAAAATTGATCTTGAATTAATGAGAAGATTATATGACACATTTTTGGGTTTCTATTCATCTTTTTTGTTTTGGGGTTGCTTCATTGGAGAAAATTTACAAGAGTTTCAGGTATCAAGCAAACAAGTAGAAATCAATGAATTTTTTGGTCTACCCACTGAGCAAAATCTTGAGATGAAATGACAAATTTGAGTGGAGAACCTCTTAATATTCAAGCATCACGGCAATAGAAAGGGTGGATATAAGGTTTCTTAAGTTCAAGTGCCTCTTCCAAGTTTTCACAACGAGATGATTGATGAAAGAAGAAATTGTTAAACTCTTCTGGATGATTGACTTCATACCAACTTGCTAGAGCAAATGCGGCAGTAAACCTTGTTTCAGGAAAATGTCCAGACCTTGCCAATTCTGAGCTCGAAAAATATTTGATCAAGGATACCTGGATTGGTCCAAATAATTTTTCACCAGAGAGCATTCTGTCCTCCATATTTGATGAATCGATGTTATCTTGAATCATGCCGAATACGGGTAAGCTTTCCTTCGGTTTGGTGATCTCTTCACTGATCCAAGACAAGACATCCAGTCTTCTCCGATTTCTCTCACCTCCTGTTAACTCCAACTGGCCAAGAATCGCCACATGAAGGAACTCTACCGACTTGATCAAGTGATTATAAACAGACATGAAAGGCTCGATGGTATATGGACGATCCATTGCAGAATTCAAGACTCGCATGACTTGTACATCTTTGCTTGTCTTTTCTGATAGCACAGCGATTTGTAATGCTGCGTGGTCCGTCCTCAAGTTGGTTCGATGAATTTTTGTTCGAAATTCTTGCTCGAACTTTTCAGACACTTTGTTAAACACCTCGTAGCTGGGGTGGCCTGGGAACAATGCTCCTTCTCCGCGATCGAGAAAGGCTTGAAAGCGTGGATAGCCGTCTGGTAAGCTGAAAATATAGTCGAACCTTGCCCGGAAGTATGGTTGCATCTTTATTTCTGAGGATGCCTCTAGTTTGCTGAGTTGTTCGCGGTGGTTTCTTAGGGTTGATTCATTACCTGCAGATTAGAAGGTCATCGGGCGTTCGAGATGAAATATGAGTAACACATTTGGATTCATTTAAAATATATTTTATGGAACCAGGTCATCAGATTCATCACAAATCTGAAATATTCAATTCAATTCAATTTCGAAAAACACTCACTTTCCAAATCTCTGTGATAAGATTTTATCAGATCAGATGCCAAACGAGGGAGTAGCTCTGTCGATCCGCTTGACATATATTTCAACAAGCTTTTCTGAACATCTTCAAATACAGTATCAGAAAATTTTTCCTTCCAACCTTTTGCTGTGAACTGGCTAATACCCAGGAATGGGACCCCGTTTTCTGGTTCGAATATTTCTTTGTCAACCCTGTTGAAAATGCTCCTTACATGCACCATGTGTTCAGCTGGGCTACCTGGGTGTCTCAAGTGGAAATTATGTATCGTGAGAAGCAAGCCCTTGTAATGCTTTTTGAGAAGTCGCCAGTTTTGAGTGCGTTGATGGGAATCGTCGAGAATTCTTGTGATTCGGCAACCCGGCCTGATCATGAAACCGATGGGCAACGTATGATGTATGTTTTGCGGCGACACCTTGGCCCGTTTGAAATCACTTGAATCAAGTTTTTGCGCGAAGGCGTGGTAGTACTGGTATACAATCGGCACCAAAATTTGCCCCCCTGCCCCAAACAGGCCTGGGGGTAGGACGTTTTGACTGGCCTCCTCGTTAGTTGTATGAGTTTCCACCGATTCTGAGATTTTACGTTTAGGTGACATCTCGTGGGTGGAAGGCGCTCTTTCTTCAACAGATTGAGCTACTTGAGAGGTCAGATGCTCCATTGGGATGTTCAAGAGATCAAGAGGAACAACGCGTTGGACCTGGGCTTGAATTTGACCCTGATTGACTTGACCCTCGGGGCTTGAACGAAGGTCTTTCCAAATTAGAGGCACTGTATTAGCGCGAGTGATAATTATCTCGATGACAAAAAGACCATCTTCTTACGTGCAGCATCGCCATCATGGGCATGTGAGGAGCCTGGCATAAATTCATAATAAATTGGCGTCCTGCGGGTGGAAAGCTGCTGTCCTTGGCTGTGCTTAACGCGCTTTCTCGAGCCTGCTTGGTCGTCGGCCAGAAGTTCAAAATAATCCTTAGATGGTTCTCCAATAACGGAAGAGTCTCCGAGCCGCTCGAGGAGATTCTGTTCGGTTAAGGGTGACGGTGACAGCCGGTGAGCTCCGGAATTCGATACCTCCGATTGCACATTTGATTCGTGTGAGCTCGGCGCCCAGCTGGAGATAGGATAGTCAGGCGAGCTGGTGAACAGTTTCCGGGCTGATGGTCCTTGATCCCACCTGTTGACGTCCAAGTCATCTAGATTTGCGGCCGACACTGTTGCTAAGGACCAGAAAGCGAAGTACAGAGGATGCCCATGTGGGGTAATACTGCCGTAGGGAAACCGCATTTTCGAGCGTGATGGCCGGCTCGTCCGACTCGTCTCGCAGAATCTACAAGGCTAGATAACAGGAAGACGGAAGACAGAGCCAGCCCTTGTGCCATGAAACCATTCTCAACCTAGGTCTTCGGTGTTTTGAGAACAGTCTGAGATGGGCTTTCTACAGATTGTACACTTACCGAAAACATTCAGACACCAAGTCACATGCATACCCAAGTGGACCTGTAGACTGAGCGATCCCGATAGTGAGAAAAATCTTTCTTAAACATTCTTCAGAGCCCTCAAAACAAAAATACTCACATTGCACATGTGAGGGCCCGGCTCTTCTTTCTCAAATGGCTGTAAGTATTTACAACAGGAGAAACCACCTACATTACAAGAAAGTGGGAGTAGTGGACAACTCCCCATCAAGACTTGCAGGGCTCCCAAAAGCAACTTAGAGCCTTGAAAGCTAGACTGGATGACTTCCCGTCAATATCTGTGGATCTCCCAGAGGTGATCTAGAGACTAGAACCTTGAAAGCTAGATTTCCCAGCAAAATTATAGACTTTTTGGGTCTAAATCAACATCTGTGAGGGTCCCAGATCCAACGGGAAGTCCTCCACTTCCCAGTGAAAATGTAGACTTTTTGGGTTTAAATCAACACCTTCGAGGGCTCCAGTTTATCTTATCATATAGAGATGTCACTTTTTACCCGGGTACCCCTCAAAAATCCAATTTTTTGGACACCCGCACCCACCAGGTCTGCCAGGGGGGTACCCGGGAACCTGGGCTGGGTACCTGCGGGTGTGGAGGATTTGATGGGCTTTGTTGAGGCCAGAGGGAACCCTCCGGCCCTCAAGACAATGTACAGTCTAGATTGCCTGAGGAATTCCTCCAGTCATTGGGTATCCTTCCACTCCAGCTGTTGAGACTGTAGTTGGTCTTGATGGCCGGAGGGATTCATCCGGCTGCCTCTGGCCATTGAGACTGTAGTTGGTCTTGATGGCCGGAAGGTTCCCTCCGGCCTCAACGGGCCCATGTAGGACACCAAGTACCAACTGGTGTCCTACATGGGTTGCTGACACCTTTGTGCAGCCCAACACGCCCAAAAAAAGCACTCCCAGGGCGGGTGCTGGGTACCCACCGTTTTTTCCCAAATGTCAACACCCACACCCGCACTTGGCACCTGTTTGTGGGTATCTGCTTTGGAAAACAGGCACTACCAAAATGATTGTATCAGATTGCTACATCTGTCATTATGTCAGATAAAAATATCTGATATTACATCAGGAAAAACTGAGATTGTATCTACCAGAATTGATATTATATCTACCTAAAATGATATTGTGTCTATCATGAAAGATATTACATTGGACCACCCTACACAATGTCAGAATAACTGAATTCATATCAGATTTTTCTATCTGATTTAATGCCCATGGGCTAAAAATTTGTATGAGATGTAAAAATGTGATATAAAATCAGTTATGTTGACATTAAATACGTTGGGCTGATTCAATATCTGTTATGATAGATATAACATGGTTTTAGGTAGATACGATATCACTCCTGATAGATATAATACCAGTTTTGCCTGATGTATAATCAGATTTTTTCATCTGATGTAATGCCATATGTGGGAATCTGATATAATCACATTTGCAGTGAGGTACCTGCTGACATCCCTACCATAACTCATTCAGTTGTATAGCTTAATGATAAGTTGAGTTTGGTTTGTTTTGTCTGAACGTTGTTAAGTTCTGACATCCTTTTTTTTGTTTGAATTCTTTCTAGCAATATCAATCCACAATAGTTGCCGCCTTTGCCAATGGAAAAAACAATCAAAGAAAAAAAATCTATAGAAAAACTTAAAACCTTTTTCAAAAAAAAAAAAAATCAAAATTTTGCTTTTGTTAATTAAACAACCTGTTAGCACAAATCTTGAGGCTAAAACAATTGTTTTAGTTTTTTTCAAGGGCTTGAATAAAAAAAGGGCCTTAATAAAAAAACCTGCATTTTCCGCGTTTTGACGTGGTTTCTGCTGCGCGCAGCACACGCGCATTCCGCGTTTAAACCCGCTTTTTTAATTAATTTTTTTTGCTGTTAATTTTGATTTTTTTAAATTTTTAAAATTGTTTCCTACACTAAAAAACGTGTAGAATTTAATGGTAAAGTCCATTTTGCATAAAAATGACTTTTGATTCTTATTTTTTTTTCCACTCATTTTTTCCGTTAATTGTTTGCTTTAAGTTTTTTACCTCATTTTTCAAGATTTTGTGTAACTTTAAAGTTGTTTCCTACATCATTAAGTGTGTAGAAATTTCTGGTGAAATCCAATTTTCATAAAAATGAATGGATCATGTTTAATAATGCAATTACACCCATTTTTTCACTTAAATATTTAGAGCTCAATTTTCATTCTTTTTTCACATTTTAAACTTTTTTCCTGCACTTTCAGACATGTATAAATTTATGGTAAAGATAATTATGAAGCAAAATGATAACTACATCTTGTATACTGCATTGGACACCGTTTTTTTATTTAATTCTTCACTTTTTCACTCAATTGTTTGCATTAATTTTTTTACCTTATTTTTTCTGATTTTTTGAAATTTGAAAGTTGTTTCCTACATTTCAAATTGTTTAGAATTTACTGGTAACATTCAATTTCCATAAAACTCAACGGTTCATTCTGAATACTGTAATCAGCCTTAAAATTCAATTGATTTTTAAGAGCTTAATTTTCATGATTTTTTGACATTTCAAATTCATTTCCCACACTTTGAGACATGTTAAAAATGACGGTAAAAACAATTTTGCATCAAAATAAAATCTGTATCTTGAATAATGCCTTTGACGTGTTTCCTTAATTAATTCTTACACACTTAATTATCCTTATTTTATGGAATTTTAAGTTCATTTCCTACACTTGAAAGGTTTAAAATTGTGGCTGTATCCATTTGCGTTCTACATAAAATTGATGCGGGACAAATAAGCCAGAATCGGTGTAATCTCATGTATTAAGATTGAAGCTTGTATTCTTAGGAAAATTGGACTTCACCATCCAATCCCACACCATTTCAAATGTAGCAAATGAATTTAAAATTCCAAAAAAATGAGTAAAAACAGCCGGTAAAAAGCAATTAACAAAACATTAAAAAAAACATGTCCAACGCAGTATTCAATAACATTCTTTGGTTTTTATGCAAAATGATTGTTACCATCATTTTAATCATGTCTAAAAGTGTGGGAAACAAATTTAAAAAGTCAAAAAAGAATGAAAATTAAGCTGTAAAAATTTAAGTGAAAAAAGTGTCTAATTTCAGTATTCAAAGTGAACAGTTGAGTTTTAGAAAATTTGAATTGCACCATTAAATTCTTCATGTTTTAAAACCTAGGAAATAATTTCAAAATCTCAAAAAAACATAAAAAATAAAGTACATACATGCATGCAAACAATTAATTGAAAAATGAGTGGAAAAAAAAAATTAAGAATCAAAAGTCATTTTTATGCAAAATGGACTTTACCATTAAATTCTAAACGTTTTTTAGTGTAGGAAACAATTTTAAAAAATTAAAAAAAATTGAAATTAACAGCAAAAAAAATTAATTAAAAAAGCGGGTTTAAACGCGGAATGCGCTTGTGCTGCGCGCAGCAGAAACCGCGTCAAAACGCAGAAAATGCGGGGTTTTTTATTAAGGCTTTAAAAAAACACAGTTTTTCCGTGTTTTGACGTGGTTTTTGCTGCGCACAGCACACACGGTTTCCACGTTTGGATGTGCTTTTTTGATTAATTTTTTTTTACCTTATTTTTTTAAGTTTTTTCAAAATTTTAAATTTGTCTCCTGGGTTTTAATATGCTTAGAAATTTATGAGATTAGTCAATTTTTTTAAAAATCAACAGATCATTTTAAAGATGGCCTTGCGGTACCCGTTGGGCGGTACCCGGGACCCGTTGGCGGGTACCGCCTCCACTCCTCCGGTACCTGCCAACAGGCCCCCAGTGTGGTACTCGGTGCCTGCTTTTGGGCAAAAAAGCAGGCGGTACCCTGGTACCTTGAAGGGTACCCGCCCCCAAACCCCCTCCTCGGTGGCTTGACCAAGACTAACTGGTCTTGGCCAGGTTGCTGGAGAGGACCCCTCCTTGGCAACCTGATCAAGACCAATCAGGTCGCCGGTAAGGACCCTCCTTGGCGACCTGATTGGTCTCAACCAGGTTGCCTGGAAGAAGCTCCGGCAGCCGGGTGGTACCCGCCGAGTACCGCCGGTACCCGTCATACTTGAGCGGGTGCGGTACCCGGTGTCTGTTTTGGCTGAAAAAAGCAGTCGGTACCCGGGTATAAACGGGTACCCGGGTCCCATGGGGCCATCTCTAGATCATTTTGAATACTGCAATTAAACACATTTTCTCAATTAATTTCTTACAGCTTATTTCTCATTATTTTTTGAAATTTGAATTTTTTTTTTTCCTACACTTTGAGACATTTATAAAATTATGGTAATAATCATCTTGCACCAAAATGGTAAATTCCTGAGTAGCTTGACCTTCCTCCTAGTTTCCTAGTCCAGCTTAGTAGCTTTGATCAACAACAACACCCCTCCCCCAACTTAGAGACCAGTTGTCCCCAAGTGTGAGAGTGAGAAAAAAATTCTTTAGAGAGAACCCATGAGTACCCCCGCACCCCAAAAAAAGAGAAAAAAAGTAATCTGAAAATTGTCAAAGACCCAGGTTTTTCTCCCCCAACTTGAGTAAATTGAATCCCCATATCAACAGATACAGGCAAGTTTCCTCCCCCAACTTGAAAGAAATGAAGCCAGCTACATTTCTTGTTTCTGGTCTTTCTACTTCCCCCCACTCTATAAGGAGATTCAACCCATTTTGGATCTGGGTCAGGGCAGGGCAGGGTGCTGGTGAATTTGGAGCAAGATGCAGGGTCCAAGGACTGCTTATTCCATGATGGGAAGGGGTGGACTACCCATGAGTATTCTCAAAAACTTATCTCCTTGTTATTATTCTTTAAGGAAATATAAGACCCAAGACAGCCTACACTTACAAGCAAAAAATAGAGTGTTCAGACTGCTAGTCATTGGTGACATTAATGCAGCCCCACTTAGAAAAAAGAAGAAAGAAAATGGCAATTCAGAATTTCAGATGTCCATGAACAGATGACCCATGGGCTGACCTGTCCCAGGTTCTTACCTGAGGCCCTTTCAGGTCAGGGTTCTGAAAAAAACATAACCCATTTCTGGGTCAGGACAGGTCAGCATTTTTCCCATCTCCCACCTTTACAAGTTTACTTCTTCATCCCTGCAATTTTTTTTGTCTGGCTCAATTTGTTTGGTTTATTTTTGTCAAGAAATAGGGGAAAACAGGTGAGACTCCGGCTTACTCAAGAAGAGTTTTTGTTGCAAAGAGATATATTTTGGGGGTTGGAAAAACGACTCCCAAAAATTAGTCGACGACTCCCGTTTTGGTCGGGAGGTCGTCGAACGGGAGTCGTCCTTCTAACTCCCGGGAGTCGGCGGCCTAATTTCACAAACGATTTTTTATATTTTTTTTTTAAACATTCGGGAGTCGTCCGCCCAAAAGGCGGGAGTCGGCCTCCCAAATTTAAGGCTTAATTTTTCTGAATTTTTTTTTTTTTCCTAGGGAGTCGTCAGGCCAATTTCCCAGACGGAAAGGGAGTCGCTGGCCCAATCGTTCCCTGGTCTTTTTTTTTCGCCTCGCAGGAGTCGTTGGCAAATAATTAGGAGTCGGCGGGGGAGAAGAAACCTTGTTTCTTCTCACCACGAAGGAGTCGCCGCTCCACACCCACCCA